CTGCCCATTTTTTGATTGTGTGATATGTTTTATTTTTGTTGAATTACATGAGTTCATTGTACATTTTGGTTGTATATGAGGTAGAAATATTTTCTCCCATTCTTTTTGTTTTAATGATAGTTTCTTTTGCTGAACTTTTTAGCTTAATGTGGGCCCAGTTGTTTATTTTTGCTTCTGTTTTCCTTGTCATTAGAGTCAAGTCCCCCAACAAACCCTGAAGCCACTGTTGTGGAGTGTTTTGTCTATGTTTTCTTCTATGTATTTTTTTTTATGGTTTCTGGTCATACATCAAAATTTTAATTGATTTTGAGTTAATTTTTAATGCATGGTACAAGAAAGTGGTCTAATTCCATTTTTTTGTTTGTAGCTTTCCAGTTTTCTCAGTACAATTTTTTTTTAAAAAGACTTTCCTTTCTCCATTGTATACTCTTGGCTCCTTTTTCATAAATTAACTGTCCATATAAATATGGGATTATTCTGGATTCTCAATTCTATCCCATTGGTGTGTGCATCTTTTTAAAAGTTCTAATAACACACTGTTTTGATTACTGTAGTCTTGTAGCGTAGTTTGAAGTCTGGGAGTGTGATATCTACACTTATCTTTATTTTTAAATCAAGGTTGCTTTGGCTGTTTTTCACCTTTTGTTGTTCCATGTAAATGTCAATATGTTTTCTCTATTTCTTTGAACAATTCCATTGAAACTTGGATTAGGATTCCATTGAATCTATATATTGCTTTGGATAACAGTTTGGATATCATTTGGATGACATTATCCAGTCTGTTTGGATCCGAGTTGAGCAAAGGACAAAGGATTTTCTGCCTTATTGCTTCAGCTGAGACATCTTATCTCATCTGCTCTGGTAATTGGAGTGAGACTTATACTACTGCCTCCCCCTCCCTCCCCAGTTCTTAGGTCTTCGGACTTGCTCTGAAATAAACCACAGCTTTCCTGGGTCTTTTACCTCAGATGGTAGATCATGGGACTTCTAAGCTTGCATAGTCATGTGAGCCAATTCTTTGTAATAGATTTCCTTCTAAAGTCTACAGATTCAGAGTCTCTGGAGAACCCTCACTAATATAACTAGCGACTGAAATTTTGGGTGAAGATGTGAAGCAACTTGTAATTTCTATAAAATGAGATATATATTTTATCTTCTGACCCAAACCTACTCATAAATATGTAATATAGGACAATAAGAATATATACTCACAAAAAGATACTTACAAGGATGTAGCAAATTTATTCATAATAATAAAAATATGGAAATAATCCAAACATCCATAAGCAGAAGAAAAGATAAATTGTGATATATTTTTATAATGAAATACTACTCAGTAATAAAAAGACTTCCAACATATGCAGCAGTGTGGATGAATCTCAAAACCATTGTATTGAATAAAAAAAAAACAACACAGATACAAAACCACATACTGTATATGATTCCACTTTTATGAAATTCTAGGAAAATTGTCTATAGTGACAAAAAGATGGTCTGTGTTTGCCTGGGAAGGGAGGTGGGTGGGGTAGCTGGGACCTAGCCAGTGTTATGTCATAAACCAGCTGTGTGAGTTTTAGCTCCACTTCCCTGCTCCTTAAATTCTTTAAATGTAATAGATAACTCAATAAATCCTGGTCACATGCACTAGTTGATCTTCCAGATCCCAGCCAGCATTACATTCTTGATACCTTCTGCATACAGACCCAGAATAAAGGAAATGAGTTTGTTAGTGCTGTTTATAATGAATTCCTAAAAGTCAGCATAATTGTCATGGAGTATTTTTGTCAGAGAAGGGAATCATCCACTAGCATAATATTTTTGCCAGAGAAAATTCTGAGTTAATAGCAAAATAGGCCAGAAAACTAAATAAAGGGTTTTCAATGCAGCAGCAGAGGGCTGTGATTTTGATAGGAAACACTGAGTAAAGGGTGTGGTAAGTAGTAGAGGGGAAATGAAAATAAAGAAAAAACATCAACAAGAACATCCAACAAAGTGAGAGCTCTTATTACTATTCAAATTACTTTCCTGATATAAAATAGGTAACTGAAACTTAGGTCCATTTATTTTTCTAGTAAGGTATTGTTCTTAAACTCTTGTGACTGTTGGTAACAGTCAAACAAATAGATCCCCAAATGTAATAAAGGCATTTCAGCAGGTCATTCTCTAAAGGAACACATGGCCTGTTTCACAACAATCCCACAAAGGAAGAATTAGGGTAGCATTTACCCTCCCCATTTTACAGATAGGGAAACCAAGATACATTCTGTTATGTTATTATCTTTCTGGGAAAAAAAAAAGACATTCTGAATATGAAAGCACAGCTGACCTCACAATTGGATAACGCATCAAGGGTTTGTAATACCAGACTTGCTCTATTGTGACGAAGATTAAATGTGATGATATATATAATTCCCCTGACACATATTCTGTTCTCTACAACTTGAAGGAACAATTTTAAGATGATTTGGAGACTAAACATTAGAAGATCCTGGGTGGCGAGACCATTAATAACCGAAGAGATAGCTTCAACAAAATTAACTTTGTGCTAGAAGAGGCCATGTTCTGGGACTGTGACATACAGGCATTAGGTTTGGGGATTGTAGAAGAGATGAGATGAGAGATTGTTGGGGCTACAAATTGTAGACAGCTTGTATTGTTTATGTGCAACATCAAGGAGACTTAAAGCTTTAGTGTATGTGGGGAGGGTGCTGGAGTTTCTTAAGAAACTTAGGAAAAGAACGCTAGTGGTTGTGTAAAGTATGGGGTACAGAGAAAGAGGGATTAGTCAGGACATTCTTGCAAGGATTGAGTTGAAATTTAATGAAGGTTAGACATGGGGCTGCAGAGAAAATTGAACACAGTGGTAGACTTAATCAAGGTATTGGGTCAGAAAAATGAGAGAAAGATGCTGGAGCTGAAAGATTTCTGAGATTTTAAGCATATAGGGAATGACTTGTGATAAAGTGCTTTAATGAAAAGAAGGACTTGGTTTGTATAGGAGGATGTGTTTGGTGTGAGATGTTCACAGAACATCCAGTTGGAACTATGGGCCTGGGGTGTGAAAGATGAGTCAGCTGGAGAGTCATCCCTTTAAAGATCACAGTTGCCCAAGTGAATAATATTATTGAGAAAGAACATGCAGCATGAGACAAATACAATCAATATTAATAATCATCACAAGGATCTTCCTCTGTGCTTGGGACATCTTGAATGAGAGAGGAAAGAGTATCAAACAGCATTGAGCCAGCCAAGTGCAAGCACTGCATAGGTTTCCACATGTGTACTCGCATTAATTCTCTCAAGAACATTGTAAGGTAGAAAAAAAGAGGAAAGAGATCCAAATCTTGTTAAGTTCCCTATTTCAAGCTTAGGCAGAAAAGGAACTACAAAAGAGAAAAAAGAACAAAGTTTTTAAAAGTCATGTTAAACTTCAAACAGCCAACTTATCATCTTCAGACAGAAGTTCTGCCACCAATATTCTTGAACCCTAAGTGAGAGGATCAGGATGCATACGTTATATGTAACAAGGCATTATTTGGCAAGTGTCAAATGCATGGGATAAAAAGCATTGTTTAATTGTACATTGGAGTGGACTGAGCTGGGCTGGGAAGGTTCTGAGAGGAGATGTGCATGCTGGATCTTGAAGGGCAGCAGAGCTTGAAGGAGTGAAGGAGAAATAAGAACAATGCGGGTCTAGGTCTCCCTAGGCTATAGATCTTAAGGGCCAAGCATTTTCTCTTAACTCTTATTTATGACTGAGGTATAGCAGAAAGTCTCCTACAAACTCATAATACTTACAGCCTGTCTCTATTAACTCTATAATTTCCACTTATTCTAAATGCTATTGGAGCATACTTACCTGTTCATCAGGCTTGGTAAAACAGTGCTATTTGATCTTGCTTTTAAACAGCAACACTTTCAACTTTTCTTTTCCTATTTATTTAATTTTTAAAAGTTTGTTCATTTTTATATTCATTTTTTCCTATTTGTTTTAGTTTCAACATTTATTTACCTACCTGTGATTTTTCCAATGTTTACTCTCTTGATGTCAGAGTGTGACATTCTGACTATTGACATTATGCCTGGAGATTTTAAAGGAACAATTAATTCCCAGCTCCTTCTCTATTAATGGTCACCACCCTTCAACTCCAGAGGGGCCCTGGAGCAAGGTCATATCCCAGAGTGTAGTGGACATTTGCTGTTCCTTGGCTTCCCACTATCTATTTGTGCTTCTGCTCTTACAAGTGCTCTGAATTGCTTGTTGGGAATTACTGGGTCCTTGTGACTGTCAGTCAAGGGACTCAGCCTTCTTCTTGCTAAGTGTAATGACTGATAGAAGTTGGCCAATCATATTTTATTATAGAAATCATATTTATAGAACAGTGCATCTTGAGCACAGTAACTGTTTTAAAAAATTGGAATAGCATTTATTTCAACAGATGCTTTGATATCATTGATTCAGTCATGCTACTTTGATAATCCAGAACTACCCTGGTTCTGCACTCTGCGAGACCTTATTCTTTGGTGTATTTTGATTTGTTGAACTCCCTTACATCTTTCTACTGCTTAAAACATTAAAAATAAAAACAAACCAAAAAAATGAACTCATTCCCTGGTCCTACTCGAAAATCCAGTTATCGAAATTACCATCATTGACATGGAAATCAGCAGTGATAAAGACGGGTATGAAAGTATAATTAAGAGATATTGTGACAAATAACACATTGTATATTTCTCTTTGAGTAAATTGAGTCACTGTCCACACAGTTGCTCACAGAAGAAATCAGAGAATCATGATTGATAACCATTGCAACCTGGTAATGCTGGACCCACTGTCCTTCTCCACCTTCTGCCCAAAGGACAAGAGAAGCAGAGGTTGCAGAACCCTGAAGGGGGAGAGTCATGGGGAGCCGGTCCTCCTCAAGGGGAATCATGTTATATTGTTGGAACACACAACCCAGAGGAGGTTTGTATAGAGACTCCTGTGTCCTCCAACTTACTGGTTGAGGTTGGGCCATACTCATCTTTGTTGTCTTAGCTTTCACGTGAAGCCATTACCTCATGCAGCCTCTGTCCAGCAGTGTGCTTGTGAATACTTAATAATTGGCGCTCTGGAAAAAGAAAAAGAAAAAGTTCTGGTTTATAGTATTTGCTGATTTCTGTGGTATAATCTTGCCAACCCAACCTATGTGGCAACCAGTGTGATATCATTGAATGCAACATTGGGAAATGATGCTAACAATCACCTCCCGTAAATCCTAGCACGTTGCTGATTGTGTCTCCTGACTGTATGACATGATTCCCATTGAGGAGGGCCTACTCGCCACGAGTCTCTCTCCTTCAGAGTTCCTGCAACCCTTGCTTCTCTTGCTCTTTGGTCAGCTCTACTGATTCTAGTTCTGGGTTCTTACATTATTCTTTGTGAACTCCCTACTTCCTGCACATAACTTTGCAAATTGTCCCTTTGTAAGAAAATAAGCCAACTGGTCTCTCTCTGTCTCTGTGTCTGTCTCTGTCTCTCTCTCTCTGTCTCTCTCTCTCTGTCTCTCTCTCATAAACACACACACACACACACACACACACACACACACACCTCAAATTACTGTAACTTGAAAGTGCCATCTTTTTCATATGGGTACAGTGGTAACCAGATTTCCCCTAATGAACTCGCTTCCTGGGATTTACATTCTTGTGCAGTCCCTTCACACAGTGTCTCAAACTTGGCCTGTATGACTGATAGAATATGGCAGAAGTGATAATATATCCCTCCTGAGATTATATCATGAAAAAAACACTAGCTTCTTTCCTTTTTTTTTTTAAGATTTATTTATTTATTTATTTATATTTCATACAAGCACTGGGTACAGTCAGAAGCGCAGGAGGGTGAGAGAATTCACCAGAGCCAGAGCGGGGAGCAGAGCAGGTAGAAGGACCGAAGTACACTGCTGAGGGGAGCAGCGGGCGGCAGGAGGGGTCTGCGCGCCATGTGGGACCCTCCTGCGGTGGCTGGGGAGTAGCCGGGGATCTAACCGGCAATGCAGAGGTTGCGGGCAGCTTCGCAACCCAACACTCAACCGCTGCACCACCGGGGAGGCCCCTAGCTTCTTTCTTCATCTCTGTTCATTTTGACCATCTGAAGATTCGCTTTGGGGGAAACCAGCTCCCATATCAAGTATCCCTTACATTGTAAGGAAGTGAGGCCTGCAAACAATCTTGTGAGTGCAGAATGCAGATCCTCCAACTTTAGTCTGCATAAGGGGAACTGTAACACCTGCCAACAGCTTGATTGCAACCTCAGGAGAGTCAAGAGCCAGAACAAAGCTGCTCCCAGATTTTAGACCTTTAGAGATACTGTGTGGAATAATAAACATTTGTTTGAGTAACTTGTTCCGCAGCAATTGAGAACTGATATCGGCTCTTTGATGCACTCTATCTTACGCTTTACATCTAGGCTATCAGCGCCTAAGTATGTGTTTACATCGCCCTCTCTCCACTACCATCATCTTAGTCCAAGTCTGGACGACAACAGTGGATTCCTAACCCTCAGTCAATGGAAATTTTTCCATGACACTCTCCTTATTAAAGTCCTTCCCTGGCAACAGGTTGTACCACTAACACTAATCTAATATTATATGTAAATTATACCTCAATAAAAAATTCCATTTATTTAATAGAAGAAGGATTCATCAGGTTAGTTATTTTTCATCAGTGAATTCCCATATTTCAAGGAATTTTTTCATTTCATTTAATTTGTGACATTTATTGGCATAAAACTGTCCATAATATTCTTTGTTCTCCTTTTAATCTCTGTGGAAACTTTTTTTTTCTTTTGGAATTCTTTTTTTTTTAATTTTATTTTTATATTCCCCATACAATTACAACCCCCTTATTTTGACCCCAAGCCCTCCTTTCCCCATCCCCCACCCCCCATAGAGTGTCTCTGGTTCATAGTTGTTTGTTGATTTTGATATTTTCTTTCTTATAGTTATTCTTTTCCCTGGTCCCTTATTTAAGTTTTCTAGATTCCTGCTATGAGTGAGACCATCTGGTATTTTTCTTTTTCTTTTTGGCTTATTTCGCTGAGCATGATCCCTTCCAGCGCCATACATGTTGCTGCAAATTGCATGTGTTTATCTTTTTTGATTGCTGAGTAATATTCCATTGTGTATATGTACCACATCTTCTTGATCCAGTCATCTATTTTTGGGCATTTGGGTTGTTTCCAAAGCTTAGCTATTGTAAATAGTGCTGCTATAAACATAGGGGTGCAGGTGCTCTTTGGAATTGATGTTTCTGTGTCCTTTGGGTAAATACCTAGGAGTGGAATTGCTGGATCATATGAAAGTTCTATGTTTAGTAGGTCAAGAAATCTTCTGTGGAAACTTTTACCATATCACCTGTCTAATTATTGATATTAATAATTTCAGTTTTCATCTTTATTGCCTTGATTAGTCTGGCAAGAGTTTCCTCAGTTAAGACATTTTCAAAGACATACATAGCCTCTTGTTTCACTTATCTTTTCTATTTTCTGTTTTTCATTTCATTGATTTCTCCTTTGATCTGCATAATGTACATTCTTTTGGTCCTTAGGGTTTCATTTGTTCCTTTTTCTTCTAATTTTTAAGGTAGAAACTGAGGTCATTGCTAAAAAGGCTTTTTAATGTCATAAATTTCCCTTTGAGTACCTTTGTAGCTGCCTCCCACATATTTTATGTTTTACTTTCATTTTCATTCAGCTCAAAATAGCTTCCAATTTTCATTTGAATTTCTTTTTTGATCTAGGAGTTATTTTAAGGTGAATTATTTAGTTATTTGGGGATTTTCCAAATATTTCCCCACAATTTATTTCTAATTTATTTGCAAAAGAGATTTCTATGGGACTCACATAACCTGTTATGATTGTAACCCTTTCTTATCTCCATGATTTGTCTTAGGCTACCTTCACATACTCACTGTTACTCTCTTTCCCTTCTCTCTACCAACATTCTTCCCTGAATCAAGCATGTCAGGCAGGCAGCGTAAAGCAGTCATTTCCTATAAATGTCTCCTACCTCTCAGTCAGTCCAGACCTAGCCCAAATGATGCCAAATATAGGTCAAAAAATTTGGAATATATCAGGGGATATCTTCCACCGTCTACTCATGGTGTGTATTATGACTCTAATTCATGTTAATGATTACTGTCGATCACCAATACTAGTAAGATTGTAAAAGTCAGGTGGACAGAGACCCTTGTCTGCTCAGAGTAGGAGCTCAATATTGGTTGAAGAAACGAGATAAATGAACTTTGGAGTCAGATAGACTGAACTTGAAAACTTGATCTATTAGTTACATATAGTGTGATTTGGTTACAGTTTGACCATCTAGCAAATGTGAAAAGCAACAGTACTTACTTCTCAGTGTTGATGTGAGGATTTAGATAGTGCATGCAGTGTGCTCAGAACACTATCTGATACTTAATAAGGGCTCATGGAAATTAGACATCTGATTATACAACATACATTTATATATTATATTCGTATCACAAAGCTATCATTTTGATTTTGTACTTTTATTGTAATCTACATTTTCCTAATCATGCCTTCCTCCTTCTTCCCCAGAATTATCATTATGTTGTTGCTCAGCTTAGCTAAGAGTACTTGCTTCAGTCCCCTTGAGAATTTCTCTGAAAACTTGAATTGATGCAGCATTTCTCATTTGCTATAAATGTCCTCACAGGAAAGATTAGCATGCATGTATGTTCAGGGAAAAAATGGAAAATGATACATACCCTTCAGGAGGATACCATGTCAAGGAATTAGTAGTAGTAAATAGGAGTAGCTGTATCTCAAAGAACCTAGTAGATCAAAGTGAACGAAAAATAGGAAGTCACGTGGCTACAGCTTTTGATTATCCTCATCAGGATTATTTATAGCAAATCCTGGTGTGCCTCTCTGTTGAAGATACTAAATGTATAGAAGAAATAACTCGAAGCATATCCAACAAACTGCCATGGGCCAAGACAACAAACTTACTCTTAAAGCCTTAAGGTGAGACTAGAAATACCAATTAACTATGTGAACCATGAACCTGGGCATAGTAAAAGCAGCCCTAGCAACCTATTTCACAGTTCAGAATACCTTCTTGGTAGTTTCCTAGTTAAAAACAGGGGTCAAGTTTAAAAAAAAAAAGATTTGTTTATTTATGCATACAAGAACTGGGGTACAGGCCAGAGGTGTGGGGGGTGAGAGGATTCACCAGAGAACAGAACAGGCAGATTGACCAAAATGCACTGCTGAGGGGAGCAGCAGGTGAGTCAGGAGAGGTCTGCTGTTCCATGTGGGTAGTTTCCTGGCCGCAGATCAAACTCACGCTGCAGTGGCTGCCGATAGATTCACAGGTTGCATCTTAAGTCCTTGAGCCACCAGGGAGGCCCAGGGGTCAAGTTTTTAACTACCAAACCATTCTCTTCTCCAACTATAAGCCTTACCTCCACCCCAGAGAACACCCTACTTCAGCTGTGAAACGCTAGATGCACTGCCTTGAATGGAAGGTACATGCTTTTTCAGCAGCATCTGCACTTCTGCTGAAGAATCCTGACAACAAGACCTGTCACTCATCAGAAATCTGTCACCCTTAGCCCTGCAATCTGAAGGGCTTGGAAGCATCTGTGAGATAGCTAATTCTCAGTGTTTTCTCAGGATCAGGAGATCTATACTATAAATCTGACCAAAGACCAAAGAAATACTCAGAAACCTGAGAAATCTGCCTCTATATGATAGGAAGATGAGGAATAGCGTCACATTCCTAAAACCCATCTGCTCTTGAAATCTCACTGCCTGTACTTATTCACTCACTTAATTGTGTTTTTTTTTAAATTTATTTATTTATGCATATAAGAACTGGGGTACAGGCCAGAGGTGCGGTGGGAGGGGGTGGTGAGAGAATTCACCAGAGACAGAGTGGGGAACAGAATAGTCAGGCTGACTGAAATACACTGCTGAGGGGAGCAGTGGGCCAAATAGGAGAGGTCTGCTGTGCTATGTGGGTAGCTCCCTGGCCGGTAGGGGATTGAACTCGTGCTACAGAGGCTGCGGACAGCTTCACAGTGCTGTGTTTAACCCCTTGCGCCA